GATGTTAATGAATGAACCCGAAGTAAATGAAGCTTATGATAAAAGCTAAATGTGATTTGTCAGAGACGCCATGACCTTTGCTCTACGGGAAGTGCAAAATGAACAGCAACAGAGACGGACAAATTATTTCAGCAAATTCAGCGACCAGAACCCCATCCGAATTCCGCCAAATGAGTGGGGCGCAGAGATAACCGCCGGAGAGGTCCGGGACTCACGTCGTTATCTGCTCATTTTTGAACGTGCTTCCCTTTGTTGAGTCATTTGCCCAATTCATTCAAAAGAACAAAAATGATGTGAGCTCCCTTTCCCACAAGGTGAACCAAATCCCTTAAAGACTTGGCTCTCGTCTTCTCTACATTGCCATTAGTTATCTTGTACTGACAGGTAGCTACTACTTGCCTGAGAAGCAGTCAGTGCTATGAATATTCCTGGAAGTGGAATGAGCCTACAGCACGTGACAACTGAGGAAGTCTCCACCGAATCTGTCAGAGGCACTGTTGCCTCATCGTCGCCAGGAAAGGAATAGTAATTACTCTACATATCGCACAGTGTTAAACAGGACTGGGGGACCTGGAACAGCTCATGGGTTTAAGAATAAGCATAGTGAAACCTTTCAGTTATCTGCTTGAAGAACTGTGGAGCGATGGTAAAACAATCCAAGATAAACGTGTGCTTGGTGTCAAAGCTCTTGTACCTCTTTCCCCAATAATTCGGGACACAGTCCCATAGGGGTACAGCAGAGTGTATGATATTGAGCATATGGAAACACAACACAAATGAATATTCTGCTGACATTTTCTTACAGTAATCTTAAACTTTTCCTTTCATTTTACAGAGGAATGCATCCCGTTTTTATTGTTTTTCCCATGGAGCGATTATAATAAAATAATCCTTGCATTTGATATAGCGCCACAGTCAGTGCCCTTTACAATATATTCTGTGAAGCACTTTGAGACGTCTCAACGACATAAGGGGCTACATAAAATACAAGGATTATTGTTACTATTAATGATTGCTCTGGATTTCTCAATAAAATTAGCCCATTTGAAGAACCAGCTCATATCAGACCATGAAGACCAAATGTATTCAAGAGTCACTGTGAACTTGGGTTCACTGACACTTGGAATATACTGTGCAAATCAAAAGGGGAAGCAGGGTGATGGCGCTTTGTGTGATATGTGCAGATTTAAGCAATGACTGTATGTCTTTGTAAACAAAGCATATAAGTTCAGCCACCAGAAAGCAGACCACATTTGAAAATATCATTGAACTTAAAAAAAGTTTACTTATATTCTTATGTATGAACCAATAAAATTATAGTAAATATTTACAAATAATTATTCTTATATTAAGATTACATACATCAACAGAGTCACAAACAATCATCCTTGTGAACACACATACATTGAATCTACACCCATCTTATTGCATGGTACTTTTAGCTAAATCTAATATCAGAGAAACTCAGGTTGCATTCGACAATTTACTTGGAACAGAAAGCACAAATCCCAGTATTGCAAAAATTATAAAGAAAAAAAATATCTGATATCTTTGGCAAATTGGCACTGCAGTAATTACATTCAAATGTTAATTACACAAGAAAGCAACACACAGCACTAAATAAAAACACCAAGACTTCATTTTAGTCTGTAAATTACATACTACAAAAACAGATAGAAAAAACAGAGTTTAGAGAAGCATTTCCTGTGGGAAACAACTTTATTTTTCGTTGTCTCCACCCTTCAAAGGCAGTCGTTTCACAAGACGCACTTAATATCTGTATGTTACTGTACAGGTTTCTATGCAGGCCTCGTCACCTTTGGTGAATGCAGTGTAGATGCATTTCACAAGAGAAGAATGTTGTTTGTGTGATTGCAAGCCTATTTATTTCATTGCCCTTTTTTCTTTGTTACTCTTTAAAAATGTATTCGACATACGCCTACGGGCCATGTATTGTGAATGCTCATCCCCACGTTTGTGCAACTATCCTGGTTTAGGAAGGCAGGAGATAGTGGTGAGACATAGGGGATGTCACCAATCGCGAAAGCCTAATAGAGAAGGCCATAGAGGCATAATCAATTGGCATATTTATAAGGGAGATAGGTGGATACTTGGGAAGTAAAGGTATTAAGGGGTATAGAGAAAAGGCAAGAAAATAGGATTAAAAGATCTGCCATGATCTAATAAACTAGCAGAACAGGCTCGATGGGTCCTCTGGTACCTATGTTCCTAAAGGGACCCCTTGGTGATGTGTCATGCTTGAGTACCTCCACCCACACGCATTGCTGCGGAGAGGTATGAAATGAGTATGTGCTCAGGATACCTTGTGTCTCCAGGTCCCCATCTTGGCTGAGTCATTGGAGAGAAAGTGGGAGGAGAGAGGTAGTGAACAGGGCTGAGTCATTTTTCCAGAGGGAGCGACTGAAAAGAGGAGAGTGAGTTAACTTGCAGCTCTCAGTGTCAGAGTGGCACTGTAAGTTAACCTTAATGGACCTTAATGGTTAACTTACTAATAACTGGTTATTAAATGCACTTTAATACCATGAACAGGTTAAACTTTCCGAGCAACACTTGATATCTCATTGCTGTTGGACAGGAGGGGATGATTCATATCTGGGGGAGGAAAATATGTGACATACCAATTCTACCCACTGAGGCTCACTCAAACAACTGAACACTGCAGCTAAGCACCATATGAGTGGAAACAAGGTTGGCGATGTTCTCCTCTTTGATAATAATGACAGTAATAAACAATTTTTGAAGTTACAGCATTGTTTGAAATTATCATTAATACCATAAGATTACAGTACATGTCAGTCACATGCATTGTGAGGCTGAATTCTCCTAAAGTCTTTAAATCTTTTAGGGACGTACTGTACTGAAGCAAATGAGGGGTCAGCTGCAGATGCCACTGGAAACTTTCCAGTTTCTATCAGGTGTTTCATCAAACCTGTGCGTCATTTAGGAAATATTGAAACATTCACCTGGTTGACATTTCATCAAATGTGACCTTTTTTTTGGTTATAAACCAAATGCCTCCTATCAGATCCCGTGAGTTAAATGATTTGTTATTCCACTATAATGGGATAGTATCAGTGGGGTCCACTATGCCACAATAGTTTTCTGTTGTGATGGCTTCTTTTCTTTGTGACATCAATTTGGGTGTGTACATGCTTCAATGCAATCAGAAGCAAGATGTTAACACGTCATACAGCAGTTTGTCAGCTGTGGCATAAACGTGGGGAACAGTGGGTTTGCACCACCTGTATATCAGAACCTTCTACCCCCTCCCCCACTTGTTAAACACCCATGAATAATGCAATCTAGTATCTGTGGGATAATCTGAAGTTGCCCACTGTTCTCCAAGATCACAAGAGTAGTCTGGATGAATAAAACCCTTCAGCTCATCCAATCTCATCTCTCCAGAACACCAGTCCCACCCCCCCATCACTGCATCAAGCTGCTTTTTAATTGAGTCCAGTGTCCTACCCTGGCTTCCACCACATTTCCCAGTAATCTGTTCCAGTCGTTGATTACCATCTGTGCAAAGAAAAAGCAATAGGTCCTCTCCTGCCTGCCCCTGGGTCCATGAACTTCCATTGTACCATACAGAAATGATCAAAATCTGCACCTTTCCATATTAAGCATTTGGCAATGGGGGAAAAAACACACTGAGTCTCCTTGGCTGGGAGCAAGAGTGCTTAAGGACACAGGCGGTTCATTTTTTTTTCCAAAAGAGCAGAAAAACACGGCAGTGTTAAATCTCATGTGTTCTAGGAATTGGTGACAAATGGTGACATTCTGCTGTGACTGCTTTTTCCTTCTTGCATCCAAGCAATGCAAGAGCTGAATAAAGCTCTATTCAGAGAAAGTATGGAAATGTGGTACAATCAGCTGTGGCATGCCAGGTAAAACTGTGGTGAGGGCACTACAATACTAGTAAGAATCAAACAACATCCTCAGCTAACAGAAGTGGAGGTTACAGAACATGAGCAGGTGTCAAGGCTTAAACTACAAGACTGTTATTTGCATTACAACATATGGGTGAAGTGAGGCACTGTATGTACAGTCTCAGCAAATAAATAATTGGTTCCATGTGCTGCTCACAATTGACAAGATTATAATTGTACAGTCACTGTTTAGTTGCTACTTAAGAGTTTTCTGGAAATATCTGCATCACTCGTTTGCCTCAATCCAACTGGTATTGAGTGAGGCCTTTGTCTGGGCTGGAAACGGGCTAGAGTCATTTGTAAATGGCTGATGTTTTCGTTTTTGTAATCGTCAATTGCAAGCTGTTCCAGCTTATTATCTGGAAGGGAGGGAACATCAAAGTTAGATAGCCCACCCACAGCACTTCTGCTCAGTCAGTGTGAAAGCTTCCAACCCTGTGCCCAAGCTATTCCAGCCCAGATCCAGACCTCTTGTAACAATTAGTGAAAACAGCATGTTTTCTGGTACACTTAGGCCTTTTGTTTAAGATTCTCTTCCCCTTTCTCCCTCTTCCATCCCTTCCCCCTACCCCGGGCCGTATATATTACACACAGGAGATAACCTTTTTAAGAGTTTTTGTTCCTTCGATATCCCCCCATTCTGTCACACGTGTGTTTTCTTCACGAAGAACTTTCTTACAAAACAAAACTCAGTATAAAATAGGGCTGATGCGAGAGTCTGAGGCACATTTTTGGGGGAGGGGGGGCGGGTAGAGGATTGAGGCTAAAAATTATGGTAGGTTTAAAGCAGTATCAATGAGGCTTACAGGTGAGCTGTTTTGCCCTACAAGTGCTCTGCAGTTTTACAGGAGGCGAGTTCAACCACAACTTGCATTTGTATCACACCCTTCAAGGGTGGAGTGTCTCAGGGTGCTTAACAGCGGTGTGGTTTGATGCTGAGCTGAAAAGAGAGGGAAGGCGAACAAAGGCACGATCGAAGAAGAATGTCTCCAGGTGTGATTTCAAGATGGGCAAAGAGGGGGCAAAATGGAGGGATTTAGGCAGGGAGCTCCAGAAACTCAGGGCATAGTGGCTGAAAGGACAGCCACCAATGGTGGATTGGAAGGGACAAGAGAAATGCAGAAGATCTGAGTCCAATCATGGTCTGAAAGTCAGGTCAGACAAAAAATGTTCCCTGTGGGTCTAAGGCTGGAAATCTCCAAATTCATGTAAATGAAATGCAGAATGTTTGATTCAGAGAATCCTTGAATAACTAAAATCCCTGACAAGTGAAGTATATTTCAGTGAATAATTGATCCTGCAATAGTCAAAGAGTCAGAATAATCTTCGCCTACCCTCTTTCCTCCTCCATACAGCCAGGTGCTAATGAAGTAACAGCAGTGGTTAACTACATTGTCCCTCAATTAACCAGTTTAATGATGTAAAACGGGTCACTCTTACTCTTACTTAGTCACTTTCTTCAAAGGCTGTACCTTGATTCTAATTACTAATGAGCAGTATAGAGGACTATCAACAACAGTCCGGTGTGATCCAGTTTCCTATCTGTTTGAGCGCTAAACCTGTTACACAGCTTACAATGTTGTTCCTCAAAGGTTACAATCCCAAGCAGCGTCTTGCTCAACAGTCGCTCTCAGAAAGCTCTGACACCACCATAGAGTGATGGGGAGTGGGTCAAATCCCTCACCCTGAGCTGCTGATGTTGATCGGTCCACAGTTGGAGGTTGCCAAGTAGAGGCTAGATACATAGAATGGTATACGGCACGGAAACAGGCCATTTGGGCCAACCAGTCCGTGTCGGTAACAGTAAATAATCGTCTCTTTCTTTCAATGCTGCATGTTGACTTGACCTATGGATGTTGGGATAAGCCTATCTCATTATAGCATTCCTTATTACTCTCTTGCGTCCTAGCAAGCCAAAGAACGGAAGCTGAGAACCGTATGGAGCAGGGCTGATGAGAGCTACAGGTGAAGGGGAGACAGACCATAAATTGACCGTTGCTTTCCATTGTACAAGCCACACTGGTCTACCACACAGTCCTGATACGGCAAGGATTTGTTTTGTCCAAATGTTATACTCAAGTGATTTGGAATTTTAGAAACGTATCGAAACCAGGAACACTCCAACATTCGGGCATGATTTGTCCACTGTTTAAGAAACTGGGGAGGGGTGAAATTCTTCTCGTCACTCAGTGGAGACTCTTAACGATAGATACGGTCTTAGAACAGCAGAACCATACAACGTCAAAGCATCTGCACTTACTCGGAAGAGAAATTTCTCACCCTCCGCAAGCTTTGCTTCATAAAAATGCTGCCCTGGTGCTCGAAAGGTTATTATCGTGGTGGGAGGTGTGGTTACAGTGTATGTGTCCTGCAGAGTTACCCTCTGCTGTGTGGGCGCTGATCTCCAAATACTCTTTTAAGTGCAGTGATTCAACAATCAAGATCACAGTTTTTAAGTATAGACGGCGTTGTGCTACTCTTCGTTTTAAAATTCGTTCCCAGAAAAAGAACCGTATAAAATAAAGCTACTGTACCTATAGTAAATGATACTTTTCTTAAAATATTTTTTTTTTTTAATTTTGAACAGTCTCTCTTTACCAATATATGGACACGTTGCCTGGGTTGCTAAAGAACGTGGGTTAAAGGTCAGCGGGTTCTGTTGTTCTACAGTAAAAAAAACAGCAAAGGATTCCCAGTAGCCATTCCACTGAAACTCTGCCGGAAATTCACATTGGATCTTCTGAGCTTCACATATTTCCCGTTCTCTCAGACCTGATTGATATGTGTTGTAAGTGCACAAATTCTTCGTACCTGGAGCCTGGGCCACAGCTAGTGACGGTCATAGGCTGTGGCAGGGGTGGCTGGCTGTGTGCCCCGGGCTGCGGCACTATAATAATATGGGGAACCTGGAAGATAACAAGAGGTGCAGTTATAATAATAATAAATAATAATAATAATAATAATAACTCGACAACTTCGTTGAGTAAGAGGCAAAATACTGCAAACGCTGGAAATCTGAAATAAAAACAGAAGTCGCTGGGAACACTCAGCAGGTCAGGCAGCATCTATGGAGAGAGGAAAGTGCGGTAATGTTTCAGGTCGATGACCTTCCGTCTCTCTGTTTTTGTGGGTGAACACTATAGCCAATTGCACAGAGCAGTGTCCCACAAACAGCCAGGAAGGGAATGACCAATATTATTTGGGGGATTGTTGGTCCGGACACCGGGAGAAACTCCCTTCTCTTTTCGAATAGTGCCATGGGATCTTTAACATCCTCCTGAATGAATGAACAGGCAGGTGGGACCTCAGTTTAATGGCTCGGCCGAAGACAACACCTCAGAAAATGCAGTACACCCCCGGCACTGCATTGGAGTGTCATCTTAGACGATGTGATTCCAAGTCCTGACGTGGGGCTTGAACCCACAAACCTTCCGTCTCAGAGGTGACAGTGCTAGGCTGACACACGATCATAACTGAAGATCGAATGGCAGCCTGTGGTAAAATTGCAACGTGAACCGAGTGTTTCAAACAATGCACAATGAATACAGTGTGAAAGGGCAAACATATAATTTATTTTCAAATGCTGATGTGGGTAGCACTGGCATTATAATTGTTGAATTAGTCCAGCAGCACCTACTCTGAAATGAATAATTCAGAACATAAATCACGTTCGCCGCTCTTTCGCCACCTCAAGAACTCTGAAGTCGCTTTCATACAATGAGATGACTCGAAAGGACGTGACCTCTGTACAGGAACGACCTCATTGTTTAGCAGTCGAGACCATTCGCTTGTACATAGTAACCTCATATTCTTGTGAAACATGAGGAAAGCTGAAATAGTTGAGGTGTATTAGAGTGGGAATTCTGTCATCTTGAGTTAAATTCTTCAATATACACATATCGTGTCAGTGAGGAAACAGGAACAATGCATCAAAAGAAATTTATCTTGATCTATGTCAAGTTAAAAGTAATGAGCTAAAATGGCAGAGGAGTTATCACATTCAAAGAGCATGAAATTGGATCATTTTTCTTCATTAGATTTTGTTACTTGCATTTAGTGTTCTTTTAAAAGTATCAGTTTGAACTTTCGCACTGTATTCATTATGCGTTATTTCAAACACTCAGTTCACATTGCAATTTTACCAGTTCTCCATACTCTGTACTTTTCACTTTGCACTAAAATTACTTTTCCGGGGGTAATAAACACTTTTAAAAAAATGTGGCCACTCAATCCACGACGGTTTGTGGGGCACTGCTGTGACCAATTGGCCGTCATGTTTCGCCCACAAAATATAGTTAATTCACTTTACAGTATATTCTCTGAAGCGCTTTGAGGCATCTCAAAGATGTGATAAGGCTCTGTATCAAATGCAAGGATTGCCATTATTATCTACGCTTGCACTGTCCTCTCATTACAAACAGGACACAATTGCCAAATGCCTAAATTGCATTTAACGCAGGTTCTATAACGCAGGGCCAGTCATACTGATCAATCATCATATGGGAAGGACAGAAATGTGTGACGTTAAGAGACTAACTGATATCACACAAAGCGTAGGAAGGTTTTGTCATCTTCAAAATAGAAATGGGAAATGATTGATGTTATGATAGAATATTTTAATTTAGTTCCTTAAATGAATTTGAAACCAAAATATGTGACAGGGAACAATAGGATATCCAGGCAAGTGTCCTTCTTTTGCTATTTGCCCAATGTGCTTGATGGAGACAGTATTGACCATTCTCAATTACCCAATAGACAAGTCATGGATGAAAAACTTGCATGGCTTAACTGAGAATCCTATTATGTGAGCATGCATGAATGTTTTTGTAATCCAGTAATGACAATGGATGCTCATACTGAGGTGACAAAAAATGTTGATGCAATGCTTCAATTTAGAACCACCCACAAGACCTCATTTCAGACCTTAAGCACATTTTTAGCGAAAATGATCATTTTCAAAAGACTTCCCAGCTTGAAGGAATAGTTCCACTCTGACATTACCAGGCACAAGATTTTAGCCTAAAATCATCCACAATTGGACCGTTAATTTTAATAGGGACACATACACCTGCCTGAATTAGGTAAACAGGATGCATCCCACTGGAATAGAGTGTGCATTCCATTCCAATAATAATAATCCTTCCATTTGATACGAGATGTTTCAAAGCGCTTCACAGAATATACTGTAAAGTGAATTGGCTGTATATTTTGAGGGCGAAACACAGCAGACAATTGAGCACAGCAACGTCCCACAAACAGTCGTGGATTGAATGAATTTTTTTAAAAAGAATTATTACCGCTGGAAAATTGATCTGCCAATCGAGGGTTCCTTCTTATTGCTAGATAAGCAGAGGCGTGTGGAGCAAGGAAACTTGCCCAACGTTTCGCCCTGCCGGGAATCGAACCCAGGTCTCTAGCTTGTGAGGCAAGCGCTCTAATCACTGAGCTGCAGGACTCCAATATATGGGAATTTACACGTGTAGGCTGTAAGACGTAGGCTGTAGAGCTCTCAATTTGGTTTCGATACTCTTCAGATTGGTGATGGGTTTCCGCGCGTGTCAGACACCCGGCTGACAAAAAAAAAAGGTCTCAAATTGTGTCCAAATGGGCTCCAGCTAGTTCATGGAGTCATACTGAGTTGACTGTACAAGTTGATAAGTAATTATCAGGATTGAACATGCACCAGCAGAGATTAAACAATTTGCCCACAAATAGAAAACCCATGCAGTAAATCCTGTGAAACGCGTTGTGACATTTTAATCAACATGTTGAGGTGCTATATTCAAAATACAAAGATTATCTTTTTTTAATTTTTGCTGATTTTTTTATTGAATTTTGTTCCACGACAATTTTCACATATGGAGTCCACAAATCAACCATTATAATAATTTATCTCCATTCATTGCCCCTTTTTGAAAGTACCTGTCATTCTCACTATAAGTGGCCGTTTTTAAAGTCCTCTTCCTCACCTTCGACCCTTTTGTTAAGGCTCCAGCGGTGGTTTGATTCATTTTTGTCTGAATTCTTCACCTTCCAGCAATTTTTTTTTAAAAATTACATTTTTACTGATGAAAATGTTTGGATGTTTCCTGATTTTTATTGAATCCAGGCAAGCCTGGTGACGTTGCACCAGTGACCACTTACACCATTCCATCCCATATATAATAATAATAATCCTTGCATTTGGTATAGCGCTTTTCACGTCTTCTAAGACGTCTCAAAGCGCTTCACAGAATATACTGTAAAATGATATAAGTATTAGATCATGGTTTTTTAGTGTATTATATTATACTAAGACTACAATTTGCGGCGTTCCTTATTTAACATCGGCATACATTATCACCAGCAGGTGGCAGCACACCCTCCAAGTAAGTGGTTGATTTCTTTTCGCAACTCAGCACCTTTTTTTAATCTAAGGCAGGCAATATTATTTGGTCATTTGAGGCCCTACCTTGGACTCTGTTATATTTTGTTATGATATTTCTGCAGAGAAGAGTTGAAATCTGCCCTCTACTGAGCCCCCCAAAACTACTTTCTATCAGTCAAGCAGACTAGGCTCGTGGCCTCTGGACTGGTTGGTAAAAGTGATTTTTTTTACCCTGATAAGCACACTGTGAATCACAAATATATAAAAATGGGAGGGCAGATACAAAAGGCTATCAAGCAAGAAAATGAGGTTATGGGAAATAAAAATATTAATGCTTGCATTTGCTAAAGCGACTTTCATGTCAGGAGGACAACCCAAAATGCTTCACAGGAAATACTGTAAAGTGTATTTGCCGTATTGTGTTTTTATAGGCAAATGTAGCAGCCCAATTGCACTCAGGAATGTCCCACAAACAACCATGGCACAAATAATTCATTGTTTCTGAGGATTGTTAGCCAGGACACTGGGAGAAAATCCCTTTACTTTTCAAGTCATGTAATGGGATCTTTAACATTGACCTGAACAGGCAGATGGAACCTTTGTTTAAGATCTTATCTGAAGGATGGCACCTCCCACAGCACTGCACTAAACCGTCACCTTCGACTTTGTGAGTTCGTGTCCGGATGTGTAGTTTGAACCCACAACCTTTTGACTCACAGGCGAGAGTGCTACCACTGAGACAGGCTCCAAAGCCTGGGATACGGAGCGTGGAAGTTAGGAAGTTATGTTGGAATTGTATAGGATATTGGTGAGGCCACAGTGAGAGTATTGTGTTCAGTTCAAGAGTTTTCGTTACCGGAAGGAAATGAAAATAGAGAAGGTAGATTGGTTAGGTTGATACCAGGTGTGAGGCAATTTACATTTAAAAACAGGCTGCTTAAATTGGACCTTTTTCCACAGGAGCACAGGAGATTGATATGATAGAGAAATTCAAGGTACTGTTGGGGCATAACAGGCTGGTTATGGATTTCCTTCACTTGGGGAATCAAAAGTCAAAGGGGCCATAGTTAGCAGAAAAAATAGGGGAGAAGTCAGAAGAATTTTTTCATTCCCACTGAGTGGTATTCGGGTTTAGAATTCATTGCTTCAAATGCCTATTGTGACTGGAGAGGTAGAACTGTTCAAAAGGGAAGTGCATACGATTCTGAGCAGGAATAATATTAAGGAATAGAGGGAAAAAGCTGGAAAGTGGGATTAATGTAAGGGCTGCTTAGAAACATCGGTACTGACAGCACAGACACAATGATCCAAATGGCCATCAGATGATCAGATCACCTCACTCTTATTAGAACGCACAGCAAAGTCTCAATGACAGAGGCACTGTCAGGAACGGCAGAATATTATCATAAGCGTCTTCACAAGGTGATAACAATTCCCGGGTTGCACTATTGCTAATTTCTTTCTAAAAATTGCAATTTATACTTACTTAATAATCCAGGATTTGGGAATCTCCAAGACTCATTATATGTTGAATACTGTGGGTGAGAGTAAGGACTCCCAGAAAAATCGCTTCCTGGAAATGAAAGAAGAAAACATGAGGAAGGTTCAAACAGCAACAACTTATTTTAATATTTTATATGTATACAGCGCCTTTCATTTGGGCTGGAGTCTCAGGGCGCTTTTTTACACTGAGCCGGGGAGAAAGGGGAGGTGACCAAAGGCACGGTCGAAGAAGAAAATCTTCAGGTGCGATTTGAAGACAGGCAAAGAGGGGGCAAGACTGAGTGATTGAGGCAGCGAGTTCCAGGGATTTGGTACATAGTGGCTGAAAGCACAGAGCAGAGGGGTCAAGGGACATTCAGAAGGCGTTAATCAAGACATTAAAGACACTCAGGATAATTAGTGACTGGTTGTCCTACAATAGGAGATCTCTCAATAGGAACACATCTGGTGAGAAATAATTTGATATTATGTACTGCAGCATCATTAATAACCAATATGCACCCCGTCTTAGTTTGCAATTACCAGTTTTATTTTTGCATAAAGCTCAAAACGTCACTAATTTTACTATATCAGGCGGAACAGCTGGTACTTGTTGATGTGAGAAAGATGCTGCAAAAATAACTTGAGATTTATTAACAATCCACCCAACTGGCCTCACTAATTAGTGCCATATTCCAGTCACTGCGTCGGCAAGATATTCTCTGCACCGACTTCCACACACCTCTTCTATTCTCTTTCTCCTTCGTCCCTCTGCTCTTTGCCCCCATCAGCAGCACCAGAAGCCTTTTCAAATTCACACGTGAGGATTAATATCACCAATTTTAGTTCACGAATTCTGGGCTTTAACCTGATGCAAATAGCTCACTCCTGAGGTTTACACTGTTTGTACCATAAACCAATTAGAATAAACATTTTAGCATAAGCCAGGTAAACATGATTACTCCCTGAAACATTAAAAATCCATTACTTGCATTCACTTTAGTGACTTAATTAAATATTTGTGGCTTCCTCCAGAATTTTGCCAGACCAGCTCCTTTCCCTCCACAATGTTTGCCAAACTTCATCCAGCAGTGCTCCACTGCTATCCCCAGCTTTTTTTTTTGCTTTGATTTAGTTGGGGGAAGACGGGGGTGATAGCAAATTTCCTGGCTGTGCATATTAATCAGCACACAACGGAAAATTTAAAGTCATCAGCTGCACGCCTGCTCAAATGATTTGAAGCAAGCCGACATTTCGCTGTGTGATTTTCTTCCTTCCCCTCCTGCTCTCAGTCTCTCGGGGGATGCACTGGAGTCTGACAGGCTCAGGCTTCCAATTCTGTGTTTTTTATGCCTCAGTGGTCAGGGTGTCAGGCTCCTGCAGTACAGACCAGCGGAGAGCTCGAGGAGTCACTGAGCACCATCAGCTCAGTGACAGAATTGCTCACTTCCCCCGAAATATTCTGCATATCGAACAGCCTTTGCAAAGAGCGAGGCTGTATAGAAAAGAGGCAGGAGCCGAATAAAAACTAAACCAGATCAATGCACGAGGAAACAGCAGCAAGGGCCTTGTATGGAAATGTCCATCAAAGATAATTCTTGACAGCTGAACTGTTCAATCATCAACTAAGATGAGACGTCCCAGGAAGAGCACTTTAATAAACATCAAACGGATGAATTTTAAGATGAATTCATTTACTATATGATTATGCTGTGTATATATATATAAAATATATAGTGGATCTATACTGTGTGTGGATGTATAGACTATTAAGTATATATCCCTTATCACTGAATCGCACAAAATGTTTAATTATTACCAATTAATTAAGTCTCAAATGGACCGTTTGTTTTTTCATTTGCAATAAATTTCCCAGCGCATTTCCAGGGAGTATCAAGTAGGTGCTGCAGTTTGTAATTTAATAGTCTACGTGGCTCATTGTAAATTGCTGGCACACGTTTACAGCTAATGAAAGTGACGAATAAGAAATAAAGACCCCAATTATTGGTAAACTGAAGAATCGAGTTCTAACGAGTGCAAGAGGTTTTAAGTAGCTCAAAGGCCTGGATAAGTTGCGTGCAGTACAGATAGCAGCATAGTGGACATCATGGAGCATTGTAGTCTGACAGGCAGTGAATTTACAGACCCTCTGGGTGGTGCATGGTTACAATGCCTGTTATAAACTCCCAATGCCAGGCTCAATCCATTTACGCACAGCAGAATTATTACCCCCCCACCCCCCCCTCTTTGTACGGCCAAATAAATTGGAATTTGAAGGCCAATTAATCCCACAAGGATAATCACACATGGTTCGATTATCTCTATGGGATCAATTGTAGAGTGTACATGTGGAACCTCAGGCAAGTGAGTGATGAAAGTGCACTGGGAGCAATGTCTGCCAGCACTACTGCTCCCCTCAGGGACTCTGTGGCAGCATCAACAACAACAACAAATTACACTTGTATAGCGCCCTTCAGTCAGAGGTTCTTGGACCCCTTAACAAGCTGAACCAAATAGGAAAAAAGACTTGCTCTGCAACAACTTGTATTTATATAAGTCCTGTGGAGTCCTGTAGCTCAGTGGTTAGAGCACTCGCTTTGCAAGTGAGAGACCTGAGTTCAATTCCAGGCAGAGGGCGAAACCTTGGGCAAGTTTCCTTACTCCACACAGAGCCTAATAATAATAATAATCCCTCAAAAAAAAAAAAAACAATAATTAAATTGGTCATTTTCAATCTACGACTGTTTGTGGGACATTGCTGTGCGCAATTGGCTGCCGCGTTCGCCCACAAATATACAGTCAATTCACTTTACAGTGTGTTCTGTGAAGCGCTTTGGGACATCCTCCCGACGTGAAAAGCGCTATATCAAATGCAAGGATTATTATTATTGTTATTATTATTATATGGTGCCCTTCAGTGGATAGCGTCTCAGAGCACTTGACACAATCACTACACTTAACGGTAAACCATGTGAAGTACTTTGCGATGTCCCTCCGACATGAAAGGTGCTATAAAATAATAATGATAATGTTAATATTTGCATTTGTTATAGAGCCTTTCACGTTGGGAGGATGGCGACAGCCTAATTGCACACAGCAGTGTTCCACAAGCAGCCATGAAAGGAATGACCAATTTTATTTGGGGGATTGTTGGCCAGGACACTGGGAGAAACTCCTTTCTCCTTTCGAGTAGTGCCATGGAATCTTTGACGTCCACCTGAACAGGCAGACGAGACCTTAGTTTCACATCTCATCCAAAGGACAGCACCTCAGGCAATGCAGCAAAATACCTCAGTACTGCACTGCAGTGTCATCTCAAGGCTATGTGAGTTCCAAGTCCTGACATGAGGCTTGAATCCACAACCTGGGACTCAGAGGCAAGAGTGCTATCACTGAGCAAGGCTGATACGTATCAAATGTATATTAAATGTCAGGATGATTATTATAGTTCAACTGTAATGCAGAATGAAATAAGCCAAATTCCAGTTTGTTGCCCTTCCTCTGAACTCCTCTCCCTCTGGCTCCTCTGAACTCCTCTCCCTCTGGCCTTCAACCCTCACCGACCCCTCTTCTCCTCTCTCCCTCCTCCACAATATCCTCTCCTCCACACTCAATACTCTTGCCCCCATCACTTCCCGCACTGTCTCCTACTCCCGCTCCTCCCCCTGGTACACCACCCACCTCCGCTCACTGAAATGCCAGGTGCGGGCTGCTGAGCGCACCTTTGTCAAATCCGGCTTAACGGTCCACCGACAAATCTGGCTGGACCTCCTCAAAATTTACCGCTCCACTCTAGCCTCGGCCAAGTCGTCCTTCTACTCCAGGATAATCCTGGAGGCGAAGAACAACCCCAGGCTACTGTTTTCCACCACATCCCGACTCCTCCGTCCCCCCCGCCACCCCGCGCAGGTCATCTCCTCCAACCTTCACTGCGAGGAGATGCTGGATTTCCTTGAATCCAAGATCAAGGGAATCCGCTCCGCGGTCACTTCCCCTCCAACTTCCACCCACCACCCACCCCTTCCCTCCCACACTCCGACTCCTACCCATCCTCCCCTACACACCTTCGTACCCGTTTCCCCACCCTCTGTCACTGAACTCATCCTATCCCTAAAACCAACCACCTGCTCCCTTGACCCCATCCCCACTCCACTCCTTATCTCCCAGCTCCATTTTCTTGTCCCACACATCACTGACATCATAAACCTGTCCCTCTCCTCTGGCTCTGTCCCCATTCCATTAAAAACTGCCATCATCACGCCCACCCTGAAAAAACCCTCCCTTGATGCGTCGCAGCTATCAAGCTACCGGCCCATCTCCAACCTCCCCTTTCTCTCCAAAGTCTTGGAAAGAGTTGTCGCCTCCCAACTGCGCTCTTTCCTCTCCACCCATTCTCTTTTTGAACCCCTTCAGTCAGGTTTCCGTGCTGCTCATAGCACAGAAACTGCCCTGGTCAAGGTCACCAATGACATCCTGACCATCTGTGACCAGGGCTCCCTCTGTCTCCTCGTCCTCCTCGACCTATCGGCAGCATTCGATACGGTCGACCACACTATCCTACTCCACCGCTTGTCCTCCCACCTCAACTTTCAAGGCACTGTCCTTGAATGGTTTAGGTCGTACCTTTCTCACCGTCTTCACTTCGTCTCAACGAATGGCTTCTCCTCCACCCCCCGTACTGTCTCATGTGGTGTCCCTCAGGGCTCTGTCCTCGGTCCCCTCCTCTTCACCCTCTATATGCTCCCCCTTGGTGACATCATCCGCAAACATGGGGTTAACTTCCACATGTATGCGGATGACACCCAACTCTACCTTTCCTCCTCTACTCTCAACTCCACGACCACCGATGTCCTGACAGCCTGCCTGTCCGACATCGAGTCCTGGACGAGAGACAACTTTCTTCAGCTCAACGTGCAAAAAACCGAGGCCCTCCTGATTGGCTCACGTCAGCGCCTCCGCACCTCAGGCGCTGACACCATCAGCATCCAAGGCTGCACTCTCCACCTCTCAAAGCCAGTCAGGAACCTCGGCGTTTTGTTCGACCCTGAGCTGTCCTTTCTCCCTCACATCCGCACCACAACTGGCACCGCC